CTCCAGAATGCGGTAGGGTCCAATGAATCTAGGGCTAAGCTTCCCTTTCTTCCCGAACCGTAGGACCTTCTTCCAAGGTGAAACCTTCAAGAATACCATGTCACCAACATTGTACTCTATGTCTCGTCTCTTTAAGTCTGCATATGATTTCTGTCTGTCCGAAGCAGTGCGGAGTCGGTCTCTGATCACACGAACCTTCTCCTCGGTTTCCTGCACAATATCTGGTCCCTCGAGCTTACGCTCGCTAAGCTCTGTCCAACAAATCGGGGTTCGGCACTTTCTGCCGTAGAGTGCCTCATACGGAGCCATCTGAATACTCGCCTGGTAACTGTTATTATATGCAAACTCCATCAACGGCAAGTAACGCTCCCAATCTTCTCCAAAGTCGATCATGCAAGCTCGCATCATATCCTTGACAATCTGTATCACCCTCTCGGACTGGCCATCGGTCTGAGGGTGAAATGCCGTACTAAGGTTCAAAGCTGTGCCAAAAGCCTTCTGAAGTCCTCTCCAAAACTTCGAAGTGAACCGGGGATCTCTATCAGATATGATTGACAGCGGTACACCGTGCAACCAAACTATCTCTCTAACGTATAAGTCTGCCAATTTGTCCAAGGAAGAGTCACGTCTGACGGGTAGAAAATGAGCGGACTTTGTCAACCTGTCAACAATGACCCAGATGGTGTCATTCTTTCGTGAAGATCGTGGCAATCCGATCACAAAGTCCATAGTGATCCTTTCCCACTTCCATTCCGGAATGGTAAGAGGGTGCAGCAACCCTGTCGGAACCTGGTGCTCAGCCTTGACTTGCTGACAAGTCAAACAGCGTGCAGTGAACTCGGAGATTTCCTTTTTCATAGCTGGCCACCAATAGGATTTCTTCAAATCCTGATACATCTTGTTACTACCCGGGTGCATAGTGTAAACGGTTTCGTGAGCCTCGCGTAACAAGCGATCCCTCACTTCACCGCGGGGCACCACTAGGCGTTCACGATAGTACAAGACTCCGTCATCGCGAATTGCAAAATCGGGCCTCTTTCCCGTAGAAATTAACTCTCGAGTCTTCTGACAAAACTCATCATCTCTCTTTGCTGTACGGATCTCCTGCTCTAACGGAGACTGAAGCTGTAGCTCGGCTAACGATTTTCTGCTCAAGGCATCGGCCACGATGTTAGCCTTGCCCGGATGATACTCAATGACTAAATCGTAATCCTTGATCAGCTCCAACCATCGACGTTGTCTAAGATTCAGTTCCTTCTGGGTGAGTAGGTACCTCAAACTCTTGTGATCGGTGAAGATGTGAATCCTCTCTCCAAAGATGTAGTGGCGCCAAATCTTCAAGGCAAACACCACGGCTGCCAACTCTAAATCATGCGTCGGGTAGTTCTCCTCGTGAGTCTTCAACTGTCTCGATGCGTAGGCCACTACCTTACTCAACTGCATCAGTACACAACCTAAGCCGCTATGAGATGCGTCACTATAGATGGTATACTCGATGCCAGGAGTAGGTTGAATCAAGACTGGGGCCTGGGTCAGGCACTTCTTCAGTTGATCAAAACTGCGCTGGCACGCTTCTGACCACTCGAATTTGATGTCCTTACGCAGTAGCTTGTTCAATGGAGTAGCGATCGAGGCGAAGCCCTTAACAAATCGACGATAGTAACCGGCTAACCCAAGGAAGCTCCTCACCTCACGAACATTCCGCGGAGTCTTCCAATCCACTATGGCTGAAATCTTGCTGGGGTCTACCTGGATACCGGTGGCAGAGATAACATGCCCTAAGAATGTCACCTCACTTAACCAGAATTCACACTTAGACAATTTTGCATACAGCTTGTGTTCTCTCAACACACTCAAAACCAATTGCAAATGTTTAGCATGCTCCTCCTGAGTCCGTGAATAAACCAAGATGTCATCGATGAACACTACTACAGACTGGTCCAAGTATGGTCGGAACACACTGTTCATAAGCTCCATGAACACTGCCGGGGCATTAGTCAATCCGAAAGGCATGACTGAGAACTCATAATGCCCATAGCGTGTTCTAAAAGCAGTCTTCGGAATGTCTTCTCTCTTAACGGAAATCTAATGGTATCCAGAACGCAGATCAATCTTCGAGAATACTGTAGCCCCTCTGAGCTGGTCGAACAGGTCGTCGATGCGAGGCAACGGATAACGATTCTTCACTGTGGCTTTGTTCAACTGCATGTAGTCGATGCAAAGTCTCATGGATCCATCTTTCTTTCGAACAAATAACACCGGTGCTCCCCATGGGGAAACGCTAGGTCGGATGAATCCCTTTTCTAGTAGCTCTTGCAACTGAGCCTTCAACTCCTTCATCTCGGCAGGTGCTATACGATACGGTGTAGCAGATATGGGTTCCGTACCCGGAATGAGATTGATCGAGAACTCTACCTCTCTCGGCAGAGGTAAACCAGGTAGGTCTTCGGGAAAGACATCGGGGAAGTCGCAAACCGTACGAATGTCCTGCTGACGTGGCGATTCTTTTCGCATATCCTGAACGTGACACTGGAACATCTCGCACTTCTTGCGAATCAAGCGCCTCGCGCTTAAGGATGATATGAACTCAGGAGCCTTGGGGAACACTTCCCCGGAGAGTGATACGTCGCTACCGTCCTCGGCTCTCAGTCGTACGGTCCGACAACTGCAGTCAGCCACTGCTCTATGCTCGGTGAGCCAATCCATACCAAGGATAATGTCAAACTCCTTGTGTGGTAGCTCTATCAAATCTGCAGGGAATTGCTTCCCTTGCACGGACAACGGACATCTATGATAAATGTGATGAAGACGCATGCTATGTCCTAGCGGATTCGATACAATGGTAGGCATCTCAAGGTCACTCCTCACAATCGCAGAATTAGCAGGCATGCCAACACAGATATAGGAGAGCGTAGAACCCGGATCAATCAAGGCATGCATAACCGAATCAAATAGTATGAACGTACCCAAGATAACATCGGGACTAGGATCTGTGCGCCCATGCATGGCGTAGGTACGCGCTGGTGCCCGGCCTGACTGCTGCGGACGTGGTCTCTGCTGATTATTTTCGGCCATAGACTGCTGACTCCATGCTGGATGTGATGCGGCAGGCTGATCCGGAGCTCTAGGTAAAGCAGGCTCGCTGCTAGGGTTTGTCGGGCAATGCCTCCTGAAATGCCCTGGCTGACCACAACCCAAACATACGCCTTGGGCGAGCCAACACTCGCCCGGGTGATGCCTACCACACTGAACACACTGCGGGTGGCTCCTCGTTCTGATCGAGTTGCTAGCGGCAGCCGACGGAGACGGCCTCGACTTACTCCTCTTAGGCGGCGGCGCACTCGAAGAACCCTTCTCGTACCTCTTTCCCCCGAATCCAAAACTCTTCCCGCTCGGCCCGGTGCTGGCCGCAGGTCGCGGGTCTTTTATTGCTCTATCCTCCTTCTTGGTTGCCTGCAAATCGTCCAAGCTCTTTTCCGTCTTCACAATCAAATCATACGCCGGATCAGTGTGGCGTACGATCTCAAGTCCGGCCGTAGCTTCTTGACGAACTCATTCAAACGATCCTCTGGAGTGGAGACCAGACTCGTCGCATACTGGGACAGGTATTCGAACTTCTGTCTCAGTTCAGGCAGTGACATCCCCTCCTGCTTAAGCGCAACGAACTCATCGCGCCTCTCCTCGCGGTACCGGGTGGGGACGTACTCCTTCGTTAAGGCTCGATCAAAGCGATCCCAGGTCCATGGCTTGGGTGTGTGTGGATCCTGGTCAATGCGCTTCCACCAATCATATGCTCCCTTCCGGAACATCTGTGACGCCAACTCCAAGCGATCAGCATCTGGGACTCTCAAATTCTTGAGTACCCGGTCCATCTGCTCAAGCCAATCCAATGCAATCTGGGGCTCCCCCATATTGTCTCCTCGGAACTCTTCCGCTCCACTATCCTTCAACATCTTGAAGGTAACGATGCGCGGCTGCGGCTGTGGTGGTGGCGGTGGCTGGAACATGGGCATAAACTGCGCCATGTGCTGCATATAATGGGCCATCATGGCCGGGAACATCTGCTCGTAGGCCACCGGCGGCATCGCCAACGGTGGCATCACTGGAGGTGGTACGACTGGCGGTGGTACAGCTGGTGGCTGTCCCGCTGGCGCAGGTTGATTCTGTTGTTGCCCTTTGTTACCCGGAGGCGTGAAACTCGAACCCTCGGTGTTCACCGTGTGCACGCTCACGTGCTCCGGCTCCGGAACGTATTGACCGTGGGTCGATTCTTGACTCATTCTAAAATAATAAGGAAATTCTCACGTCAGATCTTAACACATAACAGATAAAGCTATAAATACTTATTACCTTCCCGGGGCAGAGGAGTTACGTGAGATGCAGATGCGGCCGAATTATACATTGTATTTTATTTTATTTTATTTTTGAAAGGGTCCAAAGACCGATTTTAAAACCAAATGCTCCGATACCTTCATGTAACACCCCAACCCGCATGACCCAAACCCGTGATACAGCGGACCGGTGTGCCACTGAATTGGTATCCGAATTTGCGACATTTTCAAAACAATTTTTAAACAAACGTTTTATCAATACATATAAAAATCCATCGGAGTGGAAAATAATGCGGAAGCCTTTTTAAAGTCAAACAACTTGGGATCTTGCCCGAAAACGTAATAAGCATTAAAGTTAATTAAATAAAGCATTATCAACAGATTAAAGAGACAGCCACGCCATCGTACATCTCCTCCTCAATGCCCTCTGGGATCGGCTCTAGGTTCATCTGTCTGTTCACCTACGGACAGCAAAAAGGAAAACAACGCTATCCGCTCAGCATTGACGCTGAGTGGTACTCCATTGTAGCACAAGAATAAATATAATAATTCAACAATTAAGATCGTGCATATGTTTATCCTTTTAGTAAAAATCAAATCAACTTTACATTCGGTTCTTTAGACGGTTGACCAACAGTCAACTTATTTTCTTTCTTTTCAAAACGATTTAGGTGTTACGGTTTTCTCATGAACTCTTTGACCACCGGTCAAACCAATTTAGACTTTCACCGAAGTCAAACCACTTAACATTTATTTCCTATGACGGAGATAGCCTCAATCCGTAATACCGAAGATGGCCTCAATTCGGTGGAGGTAAGATCCCTCGGGCGATGGCCTCAAACCCAAGATCGCAGACCCTCGTGCGCACGTCTTAACCTCACTGACCAGGCCTTGAGCCCGCCCGAGCGATGGCCAGTTTCTATGTTCAACACAATAAACCAATTGACCTTAATCACCAATTAGAATTAATTAATTAACTTAACTAATTCATTAAAGTTTTGGATTTAACCATTCGGTCAAACCTACGTCAACAGAATATCCAGTCAAAGTCCAAGTCAAACAGGACCTAACCCAAGTCAAAGTCAAACCTGTTCAGTCAATTCACAATCCTCAACAATTCAATTCAAACAATCAATTTAATTGAATTAACAATTTAGCCAAATTATAGCATAAACACATATAACGATCCAAACCATTAAATCTATTCTGAATGCTATTAACTTCATACTACGGACCTGGATTACGTCGAAATCGAATCGATACCTCGAACGGAAGACAAATCAACGAATTCAACCGAACGGGTCAAATCGAGTCAAAGTACGAAATCGACCAATCAATCCGGCGTGGAGGTTAATCTGCCGGCGATATCAACTCGGGGCAGCGGCCGGATGCGGCGACGGTGACGGACGCCGGCGACAGTGGCGGAGCGGCAGCTCGACGGCGGTGAGCAGCGACTGGCGGCGCTGCACTCGACGGCGACGCTGCACTCGACGGCGGCGGATGGCCGCTGTGCAAAGGGCGACGACGGCGCTCGATTCCAGCGAAGGCGAGGCAGCGGCGGCGCTGCAACTCGGCGGCGCTAATCAACGGCGGCGATGAGCAGCGACACCGGCGGCTGGCTGCTCTAGTTGGACGGCGACGACCGGCGGCTGGCTCACGGCGGCGCTGCACCAGTCGGCGATGATGGCGGCGAGGCTGGGGAAGGCGACGACGGCTCCAACTGGACGACGACGACCGGCTGGGGAAGGCGACTGGCGGCGGCGACTCTGGCTTGCGCTACGCCAGGCAGCGGCGATTGGCTGCGGCGAGGCTGGGGAAGGGCGACGTTGGGCAGCGACTGGCGGCGGCGATGAGCGGCGACGCCGGCGGCTGCTCCAATTGTACGGCGGCGACCGGCTGGGCGGCGAAGAAGAAAGAAGAAGAAGGAGAAGAAAGAAGAAGAAGAAAGAAAAAGAAGAAGGAGAACGAACGAAAAAAAGATAAGGATTGTGTGGCTGGGGTTTAGGTTTATTTAATGGTCCCATTCCTAAAAGGATTGGGCTTCGGACCCAAAATACCTGATTAAATGGTCATAACATGAGCTCCATAACTCCGATTCGCGAGCCGTCTGAACCGACGCGATCACAAAAATATTTTCTACGAGATGACATAAAAGTTGGGCTTAAAATCCAAATTATAATTTTAACCCCTTATTGGGCCCAATTCGTAATCAATTGCTCTAACAATTTAATTAATTCTTTTGGGCCAGATTTCGGGGCGTTACATTTCATTTGAGGCATCGTGTAGAAATTTAGGAAAAACTTTGATGCCTTTCATTGAGAATACGTAAACGTATAAATACAAGACGCTACGAGACTAGGGCTACGCTAACGTTACAATTGGGCTTGGTCCCTACATGGAAAATACACAAGTAAATATATACAAAATATATATGCTAACACTCCCCCTCAAGTTGGAGCATGGAGATCACGAATGCCCAACTTGCACAGGAGAAAGGAGAACAGTGGTCGATTCAGGCCTTTGGTAAACAAATCTTCCAGTTGCAGGCGTGTTGGAATGTAGGCCGTGGAAATCTCTCGATGCTGAATACACTCACGAACAATATGACAATCAATATCAATGTGCTTCATGCGCTCATGAAACACGGGATTCGCAGCAATGAACAGTGCAGACTTGTTGTCGCAGAACAGACGGGGTACAGTGGGAGGCGTCACTCCAAGCGCCCCAAGAATGTGAATATGATAACAAACAAAATTGTGAATATGATAATGTGTACTTGAAGCCGAAGACCAGGTGGGAGAGGCAGACAACGACGCATTGGATTGAACGGAATTGACAAAGTAGTCACTAAGGTGAGATGGCGGACGACGTTGCCGTTGAGGACAAAAGGAAGGAACGGAAACTGTATCTGGAGGGGGACTGCCTGCCGTGGTATCCGCTGCCTGGGAATCCGAACCAGCAAGCGTGGCTGACTGGGTAGTCTGGGAGGCCGGCACAACCAGCTGGGTTGCCGTGGTGGCGGGATCGGCAAGATTGATGGCAGCCGTGTCGAGAATAAAGGAGCTGAGCATATCGCTGAACTCGGGCACAATATTGGGGGTTGTAGTTTCGGGTGGGCGTGTGGCAAGCGGAAAATGAGTTTCGTCAAACGAAATATCACGTGTGTGAAAGAAACGGTGATTTTCAAAATCGTAGACACGCGAACCCTTAGTACCAGTGGGGTACCCGACAAACATACATTTGGTGCTGCGGGGGAAAAATTTGTTCGAGGTCGGTAGACGTACAAAACAAAGGCAGCCAAAAATCCGTAAGTGACTAAGATATGGCGCTTTGTTATTGAGAATCTCGAAAGGAGGCTTGCCACCAAGGATTTTGTTTGGTGTACGATTAATGAGATAAACAACAGTACGAACACATTCCCCCCAAAATTCAATGGGTAAACTAGCTTGAAACATTAAGGCTCGAGCCACATTGAGAATGTGACGGTGTTTACGTTCTACCCGACCATTTTGTTGGAGAGTCCCAACACAAGAAGTTTGAACAAGAACCCCCAAAGACAGATAATAAGCACGAAGATGACGATTTACAAACTCAGTTCCATTGTCTGAACGGACTACTTTTATGGTTTTATGAAACTGGGTTTGTATCATAGCAAAGAAATGTTTCAAACAGCTAGCGACCTCAGTTTTGTCAATAATCAAGTAAGCCCAAACAGCACGAGAATGATCAACCACAATAGTAAGAAAGTAATGAGCACCAGTAGCCAAACAAGGGGTGTAAGGTCCCCACAAATCACAGTGAATTAAATCAAAGATAGCGATGGCTTTATTGGAACTGATAGGAAAACTACTACGAGTTTGTTTTGACTGAAAACAAATTTCACATGATTGTAGCAATTTAAGTTTAGAACTACTGGGAATAGAGTTAAAAGAAGACAGAACTTGTGGAGAAGGATGGCCCAAGCGTTTGTGGAGAAGAATGAGGTCCACTTGACTAGCAAACGCTGAACTTGATGAACGAAACAGGAATACGTCATTGTGCGCTTCACCCCGTCCAATCTCCGTCTTCGTTACACAATCCTGTATAACACAACCATATTTGTTAAAAATAACTAAAAAGGAATTATCCCGGATGAGACATCCAATAGAAATAAGATTGCACTGAAGTTGGGGAACAAGAAGGACATCGTGGAGAATTACTTTTGGGGAGAGGCGTACACGCCCACTCCAAGTAGCCGTAGTATGCATTCTGTTAGGGAGCGTGATAACACATGGGGTAATAGGGACAATGTCACTCAAGTATGAAAGAGTACCGGTCATATGATGTGAAGCGCCGCTATCCAAGAGCCATTCACGAGAGGAAGTGTCTCCGCCAGTACCTGCATTTTTGTCAGAAGCGTCGAGCATGGACATCAAATGGGTCATTTGCTCAGGCGTGAGACTGAGTTGACTTGAACTCGAGGCAGCGGCGTTTGCTCCCCCTCTCACCATGCCGGATCCTCTGCCACCGGAGGAGCCACTACCGCTGGAAGGACCACGGCCAGCCCCTCGTCCTCCTCGGCCAGTAGCACGTCCGCCACCACGTCCTTTACCTGGTGGGTAACCGTGTAGTTGGTAACATCGATCAATTGAATGCCCGTTCTTACCACAATGCGTGCAAGTGTAGTGAGAAGGATCCCCACGTCCGGCTGCTGCGGTAGGGCGCTGTACGGAGAAAGCTACGGCATCTGTACGGTCATCACGGCTCCGAATAATACTTTTATGGCGTTCTTCTTGTGAAATCAGTGCATAAACCCGATGGATGTCGGGAACAGGTTCGATGGCAATGAGTTGAGATCGGAGGTGGCCAAACTGCTCGTCATCAAGGCCGAGCAAAAAATGATGTGATTTCTCTTGTTCATGTCGTTCCCGGAGAAGAGTGGCGGCTTCGCAACGGCACCCACACGTTGGGTCGGCCGACCCATAGAGTAAATTCCACAAAGTCACGAATTGGTTATAATAAACCACAACTGTCTGACTTTTTTTCCGGAGGGATTGAAGCTCGGACTTCAACTGATGGATACGAGGGCCGTTCGATCCCCCATATCAAGTCTTCAAATCTGTCCACAGTTCATGCGCTACTTTGTGTGAGATGATGGACGGTTGGATATGTTCGTCAACACTATTGCATATCCAAGAACAAAGGATGGAATTATTAGCTTTCCATGCCGCAAGTTCTTGTTCATCGGTTGGCTTCGGAAAACGGGTTGGGGTCAAGAAACCGGCACGGTTGCGCCCTTCCAAGGCATTGACGATCATTTTCTCCCAAACGTCATAGTTGTCTCCCTTGAAAAGATGTTTCGTCAGGGAGTTCCTGGCACTTTCGGATGGGTGAATGTAGTACAAAGATGTGGGATCATGAATCAAACAAACCTTTTTGGTAGCCTCGGAAGACATGCTGGACAGAAACAGGGCCGACGTTAAGCAGGGCAGCGAGTGAGGCAGTCCAAAGAAAAACACACCGGCGTGAGACGATGTGTATTGGCCGACGTGAGGCGACCTAAACGGCAGTGATGCCGTTGAGAAGAAGACAGAAGAGCCTAGGGTTTTTAGAATCCCGTGGAATTGGCTCCGATACCATGTAGAAATTTAGGAAAAACTTTGATGCCTTTCATTGAGAATACGTAAACGTATAAATACAAGACGCTACGAGACTAGGGCTACACTAACGTTACAATTGGGCTTGGCCCGTACATGGAAAATACACAAGTAAATATATACAAAATATATATGCTAACACATCGTATGGTGCAAAAACCACAATAACTTTTTAAAATTTAACATTTTAATATTTATGCTAACATTATATTCTAATTAAAAAAAATTGCAGTAGATTTTTTTTAGGTATGAAAAATGACAAAAAAAAATTTCTTAAAGACATTGATCAAGATCACATGATTATGAATATACTCCCTCCATCCCGGAGTATTCGTCCAGTTTTGACTTTTGGAACTATTCATCTAAGCACTTTGAGTGATCAAATTCTCTTAATGTGTAAGCCTAAATATAGTCATGTGTGATCTTGTTTGATTTGTCTTAACATATAGATTATTAATATATAATTTCTATAATTTTTTAATATACAAATTACAAGATAAAATGGATTAAAGAAGTGTATTGGATGGTGTGTAAAAATGAAAGTGGACAAATACTCTGGGACAGAGGTATTAATAATAATAATAATAATAATAATAATAATAATAATGATAATAATAATAATAATAATAATAGTTAGAATGAGAATAATATAAACGATACACTTAAATAATTTTTTAAAGTTTTTTATATTTTCTCATTTTTCTAGTTTTTCCATTTTCATCTAATTTCTTTCAATTTCTTCTTGTTTTTTCTAGTTTTTACTGTTTCTTCCCGTTTTTTCAATTTTTTTTTAAATTTCTTATAGTTTCTTCTAATTTCTTCCAACATCCAACTTTCTTTTTCAATCATAAACAATAGGCCATAAATGTATCATATTTGGATGCCACTGAATTTAATTTATTCAAGACGTGGGTACATTTTCTTTACTCACCCAGTCACCTTAATCGAATAGCAGTGATCTTTCACCGTCTCTTGTTGGATGTGGCTTCATTGTTGTGCATCTTTTTGTTTACCATTAATCCCTTGGACGCTTATTTATTCACAACTATATTTAGATCTCTAATATTGACTAAAAGAATTGTAAAAACTCAAATAAATTATTATTACTCCGTATATAAATAAACTGTTCCAATCAGCTCCTTTTAAAGAAAAACAAATTCTAATCATCTGCAAGAAGAATGGCATCAAAAGTGTTGGCACTTGGTAGCTAGCTGCTCTTCATGTAATTATGGTGCTTGTGTGTGAAGAGAGTGCAGAAGATTCAAAACTCTTCTCCTCTCAGGCATGCTTGGAATGGCTCCCTTGACTTGAACGCAGAGAGATGCTGCGGCAGCTGCAAAAGCGAGGCTTTCCTTTTTGGATTTACCTTCCACAAGGGCAACTGCAAAAGCAGCGGTAAAAGTGTCCCCGGCACCAGTTGTGTCAACGACTTTCTCAGCCTTGACGATGGGCTGTCTAATTGGTTCCTCCTCCCCTTTACAAAACAGAGCAGATCCTTTGTCCCCGAGTTTCACAAGAACTTGATTAACACCCTGTAACAAAAAATGATACATTCTTGTAAAATCTAAACTGATTAAACGGTCTCCATAAACAATTCCTGGAAAAGGGAAAACTCTTTTTAGGACAATGGTTGCAGGGAGGATTCCAATTCTCGTGCCCACCACAACTATAAATGTAGCTATTATTGTTGCACCCTTTCATAGCCACAAGAAAACTACAGCTACTGCCCAATACTAAAAACTAGGGAGTAATTAAAAAAATAGTGTCAAATCTTATCGAAAAGGTCTGAAACTCCCTCATCTGAAAAAGGTTTACATTTTGGACATGTAAGGTCATGTTGGACATTTCATAGTTAGGAATAAAAAGAAGGGATGGGAGTTAAATGTTTAGAACCAACACCACAGAGACACGCCAATTTGAGTTCAGAACCAACACAATGAATGGCCTGTTTGTTTTTGCAATGAGCGTTCTCCTTTGAAAAAATCAGCCTTTTTGGTGAAAGTCCAATCAACAAATAGGGCCCTTGTATGAATGCATAGACATTGATTAAGGTGATCACATTAATAAAAGATGCAGAATAGTGAACTGACCAAGTTGTGGCATTTTTGCACAGCATGCCTGATTTGTTCAAAATTTTCAGTTGGCATTTCGGTTAACCGAGCAAGTTCAGTCTCATTTGGGCTGAAAACGTCAACCACACGTAGAAGCTCTGAAGGGATTGGAGCATCCACACCACCAGCATCCAGAATAATTGGAACCCGTGCACTCCTAGCAGCCTGTTATCGATCTTCTCACAGTAAAATATCAATCAAAGCAAACAAAAAAGGGAAAAGTCTATACTTTTTACAATAGTAAGGCTCTGTTTGACAACCAGTTAGACATTTGTGTCATAGATTTTTGTGTCACTTGTTTAGAAGAAGATTGTGGCAAAAAGATGCTTACAAAAATGAAGTAGACTCATGGGTCATCCATTTTTTGGGGGTGAGGGAGGAAGGGGTTTAGATTGAACAAAAACACCCCAATGTGCTAATAAGAAAGATTTTTATTCGGATTTTTGTAATCCAACAACATGCATAAAGTATTATTTCTGGCCGAATTCCTTATGTATTTCCATTCTTGGTAAATAAGGACTGACTATTGACTAACCTTTGCAACTTGAATGTTGACAGAATCAGGAATTTCCCTCTGGAGCAGAAGAATACCAGCATTCCTCACCACTTCCAAGTCCTCATCCGCCAAAACCTCCGGCCAGCAAGACATGTTGGTACCCCCAACAATGATGATCGAGTTCTGACCATTGCCTTGGAGCATCACCACCGCGTGGCCAGTGGGTGCATCCGCCACAACCCGGAGGCGGTCTAGCAGCACGCCGCCACTCTCAAGTGCCTCGGAGATCAACTTCCCGTGAGCATCCTCGCCCACCTGCCCCATAAAGTAGGTCGGGTGCCCTAATTTCCCCCCGCAAGCGGCCTGGTTCGCCCCCTTCCCCCCGGCCATGGTCTGGCCGCTCTTGGCTGATATGGTCTCCCCTTCTTGCGGCAGCCTGTCGATCTCTACGTAGATGTCTGCATTGGCCGATCCAACCACCACCAACGGCTTCAGCTCGCCGGATCTCAAAGCGAGGCAACAAATCGGCGGTTTCCTCTTCTTCTGTTTTCTTGACGGTGGATTAGGTTTGATGATGGCCAGTTGAAGAGGAACTTTCCTGAGACTTGTGGCGACATTCATAGGCGTCGGATACCATTTTTGAGATTGAGAAAACGTTGAAATGCCTATCATCTCTTCCAGTGTTATCTCCTTCTCCTATTCTCTTCCGTATTAACTAATCCAGCTCTCTTCCTTGTGGTGGGGTATCTCAAACTCTCTTCCGTATTAACTAAAGAATCCAACTCTCTTAGTAGTTAGTCGTGAAAAATAGGCAAGTTCTGAACCAATAAGAGGCCTGAACCATTAAGTGCTGAACCAGTAAAAGGTTTGAACCATTAAGAACTAGTATATTGCTTAACTATTCAGAGATAAATGTCTGATCAATTCAGATAAGAGGTCTTAACCATTCAGATTCTGTATAATACTTAATCATTCAGACATCTGAACCATTAAGAGGCTGAAACAAACAGTCTGAACCATTAAGTGCTGAACCATTCAGACATCTGAACCATTAAGAGGCTGAAACAAACATCCCCTAACTCTACCAAATGATCCAACTCGAAAAGGCAGATTAGATTACAAAATGAAATATACTTCATTCCATTTTGATCATTAATATCTATATTTATATATATATATATATTTTATAAAAATTTGATATTTGAAAACTACGTTTTATTATGAATATATAAATATTAAATTTACATCATAATACAATGTGTTTTTTCTACAAATCGTAGTCAAAGTTTATAAACTCTGACTAAGAAAAGTCAAATGTAAAGAACATTTCCGGACGGAAGGAGTAGTAATTAGAAAAGCACGGAGCTTAAGAGCACCAAGAATAATGCAAATACTTTCCCTGTCCTTGAAAACGTTCTTCCCGTATCTATTTTAAGGTTTGATCTACTTTATTTCCAATTCAATTTCTTTAATTGTAGGCGTAAAATTTAAAAATAAAATTTAAAAATTTAAAAGTTACATTAAAAGTTCTACAAAACAAGAGATGACAAAACTATATTATTTTATCATATAACCAATGAAAATAGGTAAAGAAAGTGATTAAAGTTTGACCTTGTGAATAGTAACTGAGAAGAACATTTTAGGACAGAGAGAGTATTAATTAGTTGTATTGAGCTTCAAAATTACAACGGAATCTCACCTCTATTTATAGGTACAATACTCGAATCATACAAGGGAAGTGCTAAAGATGATAGTTCAATCATGGTCTGGTCTTCCTCCGCCATTGGCGCTAATCCAAGCAATCCTTCTTTATCTACGATTGAACGCAGTCAATTACGAAAAGGACGAGATTGCCTTGACTAACAACGCGACGGGGATGGCCCATGGCTCTGGGATCAGTCTTGGTGCATTGAGCTTCGAAGAAGAAGTGGATCATAGAGACTATTGGGCCTACGCCTGACTTGAGTTACTCGGGTGTTGGGTTGGGCCTAAATCGGATGGCCCAAGAGCCCATCATAGGCGCCCCACTCCTCAGGGCTAAAATGGGTTGTTTAAGGAATGAGGAGTATGTGACCATTGCCCAACCACTCTTTCTTGGGCCCGCACACGCGTCTCTCAAGTAGTGCCCCTTGTTAACCGCACCACAGTCATCTCGTCTCTTTGATCGATGGGTTATGCATGATCTCCACCAAACCCATCATTGTTGACTTTGTTGTCGTTTAACTCCTGGCTCCCTACGATAAAGTTTCAACCACCGCCATTTTTCACACCCTTAACCGAGGATCATTTGCGATCAAGCATACAGTCTCCCTTCGTTCATCCTTTGCTAATTTCTTGTTAGGATTCTTTTTTTCTTGATTCCCATGTCGTTCTCCGATCTAGTGTCTTCTACTCCTTTGAACAATTCAACCCCTCAAGGGGAGGAAAACCAACCCCATATCAAGAAGAATTTTGATCCTGACACTTCTTCAAAGCCTAGTTCGCTGTTGACGGTGGTTCCCCTTCGGTCGACCGCCAAACAACATGGCCTCGTCGTCCCTTGTCTCTCTTTCTCTCCAAAAAATTATGAGTGTGCTTAATAATTGTTGTCCCTGATTATCTCTCTCTCTCTCTCCAAAAAAAACTCAGCAAACAAACTCTCAAACTTATTCGTCATGCACTTAACAAAGATTCGATAGAAACTTAGCAAACATACTCTCAAAAAATATAAAAACTTTTTAAATTTTACAAATCATATTCAAAATTTAATAGAAACAAGAGAAATTCTATTAGAGTCATAAATAAAATGGTCACAAAATTTACAAATTTTCCATTGGTAAATATAAATTTTTATTTTTTACTTATTTAAGGTTATTTTGAATATTCACAGGTTTTTAAGAAGTTTGTGAAGTTTGAGAGTATTTCTTTTTTAACTTTAGCATTTTTCTAGAACAAAGTTAGAATGACTTTGAAATTTAGAAGATGCTTTTAATTTAAAAAAATCATTAGAAAAGATGCTTTTAATATAGAAAAAAAATAAACTCAAAATTTTGAATGTTTATGCATTAATTTGATTTAGGAAAAAAAATAAAAATATCCTAGCCTAGCCGGACAGAGGCTTAGAGGAATCAGGGTTGAACTGGTATGGCTTCTCGGATCATAAGCATCCCTAACTCATCATCTCCAACCATTTCGTCAAAATCTCTGAACAGAAATCCTCTGTTTTGTTCACCTTTTCGATCGTTCAGGGGGCGGAAAAGTAAAGTTTCATTCTCGATTCGTGGCATGGGCTCATCCTCCTCTTCTTCTTCTTCCAAACCGGACAGCGATCAAGGTACCCTCCATAACTCCATTCCTTGTATCCATAAAACTTCATAATCCGACAGTCATCTGGTATCAATGACCTGAAACTTGTGCTGCCGCATTATTTTTACTCATGATTTTCTAGGTTTCCATTAAAAAACCACCATCAATTCCTGTCACCTTTATGAACTAAGGGTTTGTGTTTTTATGTGTTGCTATTTACTCGCTCTTTTTTTGTTCCATCTTTTGTTATACTCTTATTGTTCATCTTTTAGAGTGTGATTGTTCTTGTGTTATTTTGGATGATCAAAGACCAGACCAGAAATCATACTAAGTACTCCGGGATAAATATTGATATGAGTTAGGAGCGTGTAGTGCATACACGTTCAACCCCAATAGCGAGGTCCGCCCTTGTCCCATTCTTTTTCTTTGAAAGATGTGTTGGTTCGTCCAACTTTTATGCCTGGTCGGAATTTCTTTATATGTACCAGTGGTATATTTCAAATAGAACATTACGTATTCGTTCTTTAACACTTATGTCTTATCCGATTCAAAGAGTTTTTTGAGTACCACCAAAATTACTAAGTGATTATCATGATTCATAAGCTTATCACCCCATATCCTGTTCTATTTTTTAATACCTCCATACCCAAAAGTTCCCAACAGTTCTACCATGATTATATGTTTTCTTGAAACCACGGTCTTTTGGAAATAATCTCTTTGCCTCGTACACTTGTCTTCTTCGGATCTTTCTTGTAATCACCTCAAAAAGGAAGCTAATTGTGCTCATAATTGTCTGTGAGGTGTTATGCAGTGGTTAACAAGAAAGATTTTATTTCACTTAGTGTTGAAGAGTGGAAGAAGCGGCTAACAACACAACAATTTTACATCACCCGGAAAAAGGGCACCGAGAGGGCTTTCACCGGGTACCATCCCTTTTCTCTCAGTCATGTAATTCCATATTACTTTTAGTTGTTTCCTAGGAGATCTGTTTATACTTCGACTCGAACAGAATCTGCAAAAAAACATCATACTCCCTCCGTCCTTGAAAATCTCTCCTTTCTTTTTTCATATGTCCCAAAAAACTTTTCTCATTTTTATTAAAAAGTCACTTTTACCCCTACTAACTCTTAACCTACTTATCACATCACATCTATTCACTATTAATCTACCCATCAAATCCTACTTTTACTCATCACATCAAAGTACATTTTTGGAAACTCAACACCAAAATATACTCCCCTTAAATCTCTTAAAAATCAAAACCTCCCATGTTTTTAGGGACGGAGGGAGTATGTGTTTAATGAATGCATCTTTGTTCTCCAATGCCTCCTACATTTTAACTCCATTGGTATTCATATCTAGGGATTATTGGAACACCAAAACTCCTGGCACTTACCATTGCATTTGTTGCGACACTCCACTATTCGAGTACGCATTCTACTTTTATGAGAAGGGTTTATATTATATATAACATTGTGTTAGGAAAATGAACTCTGATAGTAATTATTAATAATTATTGCATATTCCAGATCGTCTACCAAGTTTGACAGTGGAACAGGGTGGCCATCGTATTACCAGCCCATTGGAAACAATGTGAAATCAAAGTTAGACTTATCGGTCATTTTCATGCCTCGCCAGGAGGTTCTGTGCGCAATCTGCGATGCTCATCTTGGTCACGTATTCGATGATGGCCCTGCCCCTACCGGAAAACGTTACTGCATCAATAGGTATGGTTTGTCGTAGCATTTTCAAATGAGTTGTAGTGGTAAATCAGTTGATGCATATGCATTGTTTAACTTACAGATTTTTCCTATCTTTTTGTAGTGCTGCCTTGAAACTGAAACCAAACTAGAGAAGGAACCATCAGCAACTATGAAGAGGATTGCGTGGTGCATGTGAATACTTTTCACTGTGCTGGTGACTTCATATAAATCACTATGGTATATATCAGTATATGTATGCAAAATTAACTGTGTTGGTGTACCTACCTTTGTATAAGTGGTAAAAAATTCTTAGTATCTCTATGAGTCTATGTTAAATTCGACTCCTACGTATGTTTTCCTAAGTGTCTTTTCTTTTAGAACGAGATTGACTAGAGTTAAACTGAACTCAGTTTAACTGAAGTTAAAGCTAGCTCTAATTTTAACTTAACTGAAAACAAAGAGCATTTTTCAGAAACGAGCTACAACTTACACAACTATTTTTTTATACTCATTCCATCCATCCCTTTTATAATATACACTTTTATAATTTTTTTGTATTTAAAGTTATCTATTTATAATAATTATTTTTAATTCATCCTTTAGTAATAAAGTGATTAAATTGGAGCACTTCACCTGAGAGAGGGCCGCGATTTTGGAAAATGGAAAAAAGAGGCAAATGGATATGAAGATTTGGATACTGAGAGCTGCGATTTTTGAGAGCTGCGAGATTGTTAAATATACCCTTTATTATTTGCACTATATACAGCATCATGTAGAAATAGGAGTTGCTCTTAGTTTCTACAAGTATACATGTGGTACGGTGGTGATAATGGCTAAAAATAGCAAAATATCACCACTAAACATATACTCCCTCTGTCTTGAGATTAATTACAATTTTTTTGGACTTAGCTCTCGGTAACTTTTTGATACGTACATTTTATTAATTATTCTTATACTAATTTATAAATAAATTAATATTAAAAATGTAAGATTTTGCCTTGATTCCCTTGAAAATGAGAAACTATAATCTAATTTAGGACCGTGAGAAGATAAGTACTTGGTGATGTGAAAGAATGATCTCAGTTTTCTTTTCTCACTCTCATTTTCGAGATCCAAGACATAAATAGAAACGATGTCTAAGTCTAGCCAACATGACTTAAATCATACGGAGTACAAGTGAACTCATAGCTTTTGAGCCTTTTTTCATTTTAATTAGAGTACATGCTTGCTTGAGATGGAATTTATTACATTTTGTCATTTCGAATTGCCTTTAAAAAAATCAGGGGGTGGTGGCACCAGACTCCCGTAGTGCACTCTCGCCCCCTGTCACTTGTATTCCTAGAAGCGCCACCTTATTTTCACGGTTTTGCAAGGAAAGGAGAAGAGAAAGGAGGGAGGTTTTAGAAAGAAAAAAAAAAGATTGTCATGCAAGTGCTTTGATATAACATTGGTATACATATAATCAACCTTTTGACATTAAAATTTGGAGCAATGGATTTCAAGGGCAATAAGCTACCTACTGACTCTCTTACACGTCTGGATTCCGAGAGGAAAAGAAGAAAAAAAGGGTACTTGCAACTTATCATGGCCTTCGCTTAAGTGCTACTTCCAATCCATTCGTAACCGATGCTTTCAAGGATGGAGAAATCGCATTGCTTCCAAGAAAAACGTCAAAGAGGGCTGACGTAACGTTTGCTGATTCAATCTTAGCATCGACTGAAGAAGGGGTTGTTGCATCAGATGAAGATGACACACAAACCTGCATATTGCAGTGTAAAGTCTCAGAGTTAATTAACAAGAAATGGCAAGGGTGAGGCATATATATACTCACAAGCATTTGGGCCGAGTTCATCCACGCCAATACTATGGAGGTTCCCTTCTTTAGAGGCCTCCCTCCCAAGATGCTACGAAAAGTGGAAAGGGCTGTCTCGTCATCCGGAGAAGGTGATTTGATTCTTGGAGAAATGGCTTCATTCAATGAATCCCAGAATGTTTTACCATCAACATCTCTCACTAAAACAATGCTTATGGATTTCTCCATAGGAACTGCAGATAAAATTCATCAATTTCCAAGGCCCAGTTTCACACTCTTTTTACACTGTTTTGAAAAGTGTGAGATGCTTAACATGAAAGATAACAAATCCCACTTTTAAATCAAATCAAACCTTAATTACCTTTGAATATGGTCTCAAACAAGAAGGAATCCTTCATCATCTCGGCTGCCGAGCGTCCTCTCCACGCATCTAACTTACCAAAGATGGATTCATTGACATGTAGCCCCACAGCATAGACCTTCACGCCTATTAACGCAAACACCTTTTCCCTATATCCTACGAAGGCACACAAGTGGAAACCGAAATGTCTATCACGAATCTGGCAAAACTTAACGAGTAAATGTTAGAAAACTTGTTCAAAGGCAGGATTCTAGCAGCTAACCTGTCCCAACCAAAGACAAAGATTCTGAGCAACCTGGGATGCTCAATGATGCTTGGAATTTTACTTTGGTTGCCGGTTCCTGCCTGTAATCTGCATTTCCTACTGAAACAAAGATCAAATCGTCAAAGATCCTATAAATAATAATAAGACCAACAACAAATAGCCATACAACAGCTAATCATATAAGCTTCAATCTAAAACAAGACAGGTGAAAACCTCCACATCTATGGCAGATACTCTATCTAGATTTAGTTTTAAAAAATTCAAAATAAAATAAAAATCCTTGAAATGGGCATTATCCTTTATTGATGAGAAGTTGAGAACAAGGCTAATATGCTCTTTAGGGAATATTTTTTGATAATTCAGTCAATTGTTATCTAAATATGATAAGCGTGCAATTAATTCCAGATGCCGCAATGAACAAAAATCCGGATGAAGGGAATACAACAACAATTGAGGGTTTCATAATAGTTCATCTTACTTGGCGGAGGGTAAAGGAAATCTATGGTTAATGCATGTAACTCAAATGCTACTAAATGAGCATTTATACTAACTAATGAAAAGAAAATTCACCAGAAGAAGATGAAGCAGATATGGGAGTGGTAAGACTGAAACCAGACGACCTTAAAGAGAAACGAGAAGGGAATGTGGGGAAAAAATTGGAAAAACTATGGGATTTGTTCAGAGGAAGAGAAAGTCTGGATTTGACATTGGAAAATGTGGTTCTGGATTTTGTAGGCACTGAAGGAGAAGAAGCCCAAAATGAAGCTGGCATTGACGCAACCGCAGCCATGATCTTGTTCTGGAGCTTGGAATGTCAGCCCCAATTTCCCTTAAAATTTACTCTTGCGAGTGAGGAAGTTAGGGGTGTATTCAAGATTTTTTTGGATTTAAAAAGTCAAATAGGTATTCAATTGGGATTTTAAAAAATCAATTAAAATTTAAAGGTATTCAATTGAGATTTTAAAAAATCTTTCTAAATCTAATGATATTGAAAAATAGATAGATTTTTAAAAATTGTTATAAATCATGGATTGTGATGAATCTTTGGCTTGAAGTATAAATAAAAAACTTGTTTTCAAATCCAACCAAACCCCAGTGGATTTTCTGGAGTCGAGTAGTCGCAAGATCTTCTCGTCATTCTTCATCTCCTTCTTCCCCAAGAGAGTTCATCTTCTCGATCATCTTCCCCAAGAGAGTTCATCATCTTCTCCCTAGACGCAGGTTCTCCCTTCAAGGTAAGGTCTTCTCTTCTCCAACTCTCCTCCATCATATTCAAGTCTTCAATTTTTTGTGTGATTCTGCGGTTTGTGCCTTCAATCTTCTCAATTTTTTATTGCTTTTTTGACTTTCCTCACCAAAGCTAATTTCTAGTTGTCCTTTGCCCTATTTTTACAACCCAAATAATTTTAAAAAGTAAATCTTGTTGTTTTTACCATAGTTTTAAAAACCAGACCGGACCAGCCGGTTCGGACCGTGAACCGGTGGTCCAATCGGTCCGGTCCGGCACCTTGGACCGCAACTTGCATCGAACTGTTACGAACCACAGTGAACCGGAAAAAACCGGCCGGTTCGCCGGCCAGACAGTGTTTTTTTTTTCTTGCAATTTTTCGCCCAAAAATCTCACCCCATAAGGGTTCGAACCCAAGACCTCCTGCTACCAAAGTTAAATGCCTAACCATCTCAGCTCAAGTGTCTTTGTGTCATAAGTTCACTTTAATAATTTTTAATATTACATTATTAAAAAATGTTTAAAGATTTCTTTTCATTTTAAGAACTTTAAAAAATATAATATTATAGCTATGATTCAAACTCAGAATTATTGATATAATTGATAGAATTACAAATATTATGCAAAGATTTTATTTCAGTGTTTTTCATATTAGA